TGCCCCTTTTTTAAACTGAGTTGTCTTACTGTTGTCGAGTTCTAAGACTTTATATATTCTGGATACTAGATCCTTCTAAGATATATTATTTGCCTATGTTTTCCCTCATTCTTTAAGCTGTCTTTTCACTTTGTTGATAATGTCCCTTAATGCACAAGGGTTGTATCCTTTCACTGTACTTATTCAATCTGTATGCTGAGCACATAATCTGAGAAGCTGGACTATGTGAAGAAGAATGTGGCATCAGGATTGGAGGAAAAATCATTAACAACCTGCAATATGCTGACGACACAACTTTGCTTGCTGAAAGTGAAGAAGACTTGAAGTACTTACTGATGAAGATTGAAGAATACAGTCTGCCATATGGATTACATCTCAATATAAAGAAAACAAAAATCCTCACAACTGGAACTATAAGCAGCATTATGATAAATGGAAAAAAACTGAAATTGTCAGAGACTTCACATTGCTTGGTTCTACAATTGACGCCAATGGAAGCAACAGTCATGACATCAAATATGTCTTGGGAGATGTTATTTAAATTGAAATAGCACTGGGCAAATTGGCTACAAAGGACCTCTTTCAAGTGCTGAAGAGTAAAGATGTCTCCTTGAGGACTAAGGTGCGCCTGACACAAACTATGGTATTTTAAATTGCCTCATATACATGTGAGAGCTGGACAATGAATAAGGAAGACTGAAGAAGAATTGATGCTTTTGAGCTGTGGTGTTGGCAAAGAATGCGGAAAGTACCGTGGGCTGCTAAAAGAACTAACAGGTCTGTCCTGGAGGAAATGCAGCCAGAATGCTCCTTGGAGGTGAGAATGGCCAGATTTCATCTCACATACTTTGTTCATGTTGTCAGAAGGGACCATTCCCTGGAGAATGATGTCATGCTTGGTGAGGTGGAGGGTCAATGAAAGAGGGGAAGGCCCTCAATGAGATGGATTGACACGGTGGCAGTGGCGATGGGCTCAAGTATAGCAGGGTGCAAGTATAGTAAGAATCATGGAGCTGGCTCAGGACCGGGCGGCATTTCATTCTGCTGTGCATAGGGTTGCTGAGTCAGAGATGACTTGATGGCACCTAACAACAACAACGCACAAAAAACATTTTTTTAAAATATGATGTGCAGTTTATCTTTTTTGTTGTTGTTGTCATGCTTCTGGTGTCATAGTAAGAACCCACTGCCAAATCCCAGTGCAGACGTAATTGTTTTTAGTTGCAGTATTGTTGGCTCTGACTCAAGGTCACCTTATGTGTAACAGAATGAAATGTGCCATCTTCACAATTGTTGGTATGTTTGAGCCTATTGTTACGGCTACTGTGTTAATCCATCTCATTGAGAATTTCCCTCTGGCTGACCCTATGCTTTTCCAACCATAATGTCCTTTTATAGGGATTGGTCTTTTCTGGATGTATCTAAAGTATGAGAGCTGAATTACTGCCATGCTTGCTTCTAGGGAACATTTTGGTTGTAGTTCCTCTAACATTAATTGATTTATTCTTATGGTAGCCAGAAGAACAAGTATTCTTTGCCAGCACCATGATTTGAATGCATCAATTCCTCTTCTGTCTTCCTTTTTCATTGTCAGCTTTTGCACATATATGAAGCAAATGAAAAGACCATAGTTTGGGTCAGGTGCACCTTAGTCATTGAGTGTGACATCTTTGATTTTTAAGTCTTTGAAGAGGTCTTTTGCAGCAGATTTGGCCAATGCAGTTCATCATTTGATTTCTTGACTGCTGCTTCCATGACTGATTGTGGATCCAAGTAAAATGAAATCAGTCAACTTCAATTTTTTCTCCATTTATCATGATGTTGTTTATTGGTCCAGTTGTGAGGCTTTTCATTTTCTTCATGGTTAGGCATAATCCATACTGAAGTCTGGTCTTTGATCTTCAATAAGTGCTTCAAGTAATTTTTATTTTTGGTAAGTGAGGTTGTATCATCTGCGTATCTCAGTTGTTAATGAGTCTTCCTTCAGTCCTGATGCTGTGTTGTTGAAAATTAGGCATTTTTAATATAATAATGTGGTAACTCTGAAAATCAGATTATTCCTCCTTTTTTTTTTTTTTAAGCTTTTTGTAGCTTGCTGTGGGCTTTGTAACTGTGTAGTGACTTTTTCTAAACTATTTTTGTGTTTTGTCATGTGGGGTCTCTGAAGTCTTTGTCCCTTTAGCTTGTGTTCATCTAGAATTTCTTGTCACAGCTTTCCTAGGATGCCAGGAGCAAACCTTCTTTACCTCCCCACCCCCACCAAAACAGATACCCCTCCATTTTTGCATATTGGCTATGTTCATTTAACTCTTGGACAGGCTATCTGTAACTGCCTTAGCCTTCAGTTGCAGCTTACATGGAGCCTAGAGATGAGCCAGTGATTAAACTTAGGATCTTTTCAGGTCTTTTCTGAGCATGTGTCCTCCCTTGGACATGTGTGTGGCTCCCTGAATTCCCCTGTATGCATGCATGCTTTCGAATGTTGGAATTTCCCAAAGAAGTTCTTCCCAGCTTTTCATCCCAGACTTTTAGTGCTGTATCATTTGCCTCAACTGTAATCTTTTGCCTTAAGTAGCAGCAGGTTGTTCATTTCCCTTACAGTGTTTTCAAGGAGTCTGTGCTGCTTTTCTACCCTGAGTTTTCACTTGGATAAAACAAAGATAAAGTGCCTTGTGTCAGTCCTTTAGTTAGCACAAGCAAACCCAATTATTTTAGAGTAAGATTTGCTCTGTTTTTTGTTTTGTTTTTTGGGTGGGGTAACAGGGACCATGGCCCCTCCCTGGGAACATGGGCTACCATCTCAAGACTACTGCTAACCTGACAAGGGGGATAAAAGACAAGGGCAAATAAAAAATGCAGGAAAAGTTTCCTTCCCATTTTTAACTTGACTTTTGCTTGATTCAAAGTTCACTTGGTTGCTATAAACCTTTGACTGTTTTTCAGAGTTCTGATAAAGTTGATTCTGACAGTTTTTCCTTGATTTTTTGATGTTTCTGTGAAGGCACAGTCCCCTAGAGCTCTACCTACTTTATCATTTTCACTGAAGTCACTGTTTCTGAATCATGCTGTTTTTTTTTTTTTAATTGATATTTTACAATTAGAAATTTTAAAGGATTAATGCATGACATAAAAACTTTTGCCTGCAATTACTATTTAGTATCTACTCATGACTCAGTCTTATTGTAGTTTCATACCTGTTACTTTATCTTCAAGGATTCTTTCTCAAGAATGTATACTCAGTATAGTAATAATAGTAGCCAGCATTTATTGAAAGCTTACTTATGTGCCAGGACTATAGAAAACTTTATTTTATATCCATGATCTCATTTAAATTAAAATATTTTAAAGTACTTATCAAATTTGAAGGTACAAAGAAAATTGCAATGCTATAGGTAAAAACTTGATTTTATCATCTTAGAACAGAACAATTTCTTCAGTGATTTGTGTTTGTAATATCTTTTTTACTATCATATATTGTTTAAATAGCTCTATCACCAAAGACAGGAGCTCTGGTAGCATAGTGCCTAAGGCACTTGACTGCTCACCAGAAGGCTGGCGGTTCAAACCCACCAGCCACTCCTCAGAAGGAAGGTTGGGCAATCCTACTTCTGTAGTGATACTGCCTCGGAAACCCAAGGAGGGGTCTCTAAGGGTCGGGGCCGACTCGACGGCAAATAACAACATAACAACATCACCAAAGACATGTATAGCTTAAGCAACTATAATCATCAGATGGGGAAAAAAAGTAAATTTCAATGAAAAGCCTGAAGAATTAACTGTAAATAGTATAAGCTAAAAGAAAGACTTGAACCAAAGCACATCATTATAGGGGGAAGAATAGGAATATTCACAACAATAAAGAAGATAGAAAAATTTATTGCAACTTGAAACTATAAATATCACTCAGATGAATCAGCCAAAAAAAAAAAAGCATTAAAATATATTGTTATTTGACCAGATTTGTCTTTTGAAGATTTGTTTGCTGATAGGCACTTCTGTAACTAACTAATAAATGATTTGGAGGGATTATTCTGGTATTCTGGGGATATTTTAAAAGAGTGTAAGAGGGCATTTTATGATGGTTCATCCTAAATATACAATAATATGTATTATATAATATATAATTATTGATGGACTGCATTTTTTTCTTGGAGTTTATATAGTGTTCTAATTCTCTCTTCACCATATTTTATAAAAATCAAGTTGATATGCCTTCTGGGTACTGCATTTGCCAAAATAACCTCACTATTAAAATTTGCTTCATGTCAGGTTGCATCCATTCATGATACAGAAACCCCTGCACAAAAACAAAAAAAGTAATTTGGCTCTAAAATATTTTCCCCAATATATAGCATTTATTTTTAAAATTAGTTTCTTGGGCCCTAGTATTTCTGTAAGCCTCTTTATGTAGCTCACAAAAAATCAACAGAAAGGGAAAGCAATCCCATCCAGCTATTATTAATTTATAGTAGGGGTCAGAAAACTTTTTCTGCAAAAGCCAGTTAGTAAATATTTTAGACTTCGCAGACCATCCAGTCTGTGTTGTTAGATGTACCTAATTCTGCTGCTGTAGTGCAAAAGAAGCCATAGACAATAGTGGATGAGTACATGTACCCATGGTCATAGTTTGCCAATCCCTGCTTTATGGTACCAAAATTAAACCAGTTCATATAAAATATCCACTAAGATGAATAACTTAGGCCCTAAGAGTGGGATAAAGAATTTTTTATCTTTCAGAGTCCCTTAGGAAAAGTATAGGCTATTTCCTGAAAAGTATTTTCTAGTGTAAATATAGTTACACAACTTTATTCTTTTCTTATCCTGAGATATTTATTAAGAAAGGGTAATCTGGAATCCAATACATCAAATGTCTCTTGGGAGATGTTATTTAAATAGAAAGTGGTATTACCTTCTAGCATTATAAGAACCCTAGCTCTCAAATAAAAAAGACTCTTGGATAATGAGTAAGTACCTATAACATGTCTCCAACATACTGATTTTTAAAGGGCAATAAGTTCTCCCTGGCAGTGATTGCAGCAATTGAAAGTTATATTTTCATATCTAGTATAGGGATGAAATCGTCCAATGTTTTTCTTTGTATTAAGTAAGGTAGTTGGTGAAGACTCAGAAAATGGACTATCAGGTGAGTTTTCTGCACAGGCAACTGGATCCAAAAGGTGTAGGATCTAAGGAAAATAAAAGAGAAGTTAAGATGATGTATGTTTTAACACTAGAGACTGTAAAAACTAACCTTTAGCAGTACACATATATATTTGACTACCGACCTAAAGGTTGGCAGTGCAAACCCACCCTGGTGGCACAAAAGCAAGCCATGGTGATTTGCTTCTGTAGAGACCCTATGAATCAGTGCTACTCTGTAACACATGGGGTTGCCATGAGTTGGAATTGAGGTGTTGCATTGGTATAAACAGACTCATTAATATGTAACTATCATAAAAAATAACATTGGAATGATGTACTTGATTGAGAAGAGACTTGATCCCTTTTCTCAAAAAGTCCTAATCTAACAAGGATGTCTATAGCATTACCTGGGTTATTTTCTTTAATAATGAAAGTGATGCTCTTTATAGAATTGATGGAAAAGCATAAACATACAGAAGAAAATGAGGTTATATCAATATTCCCTTAAGTGATATCAATTTCTACTCTTAACAAAAAAGTACTCAATGCCTCCCTTGTTCAGTCTTTTATTCAACTGCTTATAATCAGGATTTTGCCTTCTTCTACTGAAATGCTTATTTAAGTCTTTGATCACTTTTTATTTGTAAATAAATGGCTTTTAATGTCCCATTTTTAAGTTTATCTGCACTATCTCATGTTAACAACCATGTCCCTATTCTTGGGTTTCACGATACCTTGCTCTCCCAATTCTTCTCTTCTTCTCATGTTTCCTTTTCCCTGTTTCCCTGATGTTAGCAAAATCAGTTAGAAAGCAGTTGGTAATCCAGGCAAAAGAAGGTAGTCAATTAGATTAAGGAAGATGGATAGAGAATAAATTAAAGGGTTATTTAGACATATAATTATATGTTGAGTTTGAGATGCTTCTGTGACACCCAAATGGAAGTGGTGTTGTATAGGCAGTTGTTAGGAGTGTTTAGAACTACAAAGGATTGGATCACAAATTTCAGATTTATACACATATGGGGGAGAACTACAGCCATGGACATAAGTAAGGCCTTTCAGTGAGAATATGTAATGGAAGAAGAAGATCTAAGCAAAGCTCTGAGGATACCCAATGTTGTATACTAAAATAGAATGATCAGAGAAAAGAGAAAAGCCAGGAGGGAATAAGGTTACATAGGCCAAGAGAAAAGAGTGCTTCAAGAAAGATGAATAGTCAAGTACACTGAATCCTCCTAGCAGCAATTGGGAGTGCAGTGATATGATTTCCCAACAAAGAATAGAAAAGGAGAAACAGGTTTTTGGATAAAGATGATATGTGACAAGTTCAGTTTCAGATACTGATTCATTCAATAAACAGCCGAGCACCTACTCTGTGCAAGCATTATGTCAGACCTTGAGGAAACAAAAAAGACACAGTTAAGGAACAGGAGTAGTCTGAAAGAACACAAGCTGGAAGGAAATGATCATGAAGAGAAAGACTGAGTTAGAAATTTTAAGTGCAACAGTTCTGGTGAGCACAAGGCCTAAGAAGGGATGAGTCAGTTGAAGTGTAATGGTGGTGAATTTGGTTGTAGTTTTAGAACTGTGAGAACACCATATTTGATAGGCCATCTGCATGGACCCTGAATTCATCCAGGACAGTAGGGACCAAGTCTACACTATTTGATTCTGCAGTATTCACCACCAAAACAAAAACCCACTGCTATCCAGTCAATTCTGACTCATAGTAATCCTAAAGAGCATAGCAGAACACCATGGGGTTTCCAAGGCTGTAAATCTTTGCAGAAAGAATTGCCACATCTTTCTCCTGTGGAGTGGCTGGTGGGTTCTAAATGCTGACCTTTTGGTTAGCAGCAAAGCACTTTAATTACTGTGCTACCAGGGCTTCTGTATTCAGCACATTCCCATCTATAAGTGGAAATAAATAATTTCTTAGATCAGAAGCAATCAATTATCTGGGGATCCTGGATAAAGTGAGAGAAAAATGTGGAACAAAATTCAAAATCATAAAGACCAGGATTATTAGTTAGATAGAGACTGGTGAAACCCTCAAGACTATGGCTCTGGGTTACCCTTCGGGCTTAGAAATGGACTCATTCCCATGGGTGAGCTCTCAGCCAAACAACAGACAGGCCTATGAGCTGGATACACCAGGGTGATGCACTCCTTAGAACAGTCAACCATGGGTGATCGGAAGGGCAGCATTCGCACAGGGAGAAAGTAAGGGAGGAATGCATAGGTAAAAAGGACACAGGGAAGGGGTAACAACAGGGAGGAGGTAGGACGACAGCTGTTACACTGTGGGGATTATAACTGGTGTCATGAAACAAAATGTGTATGAACTGTTGAGTGTAAAACAAATCTGCTTTGTAAAACTGCACCCAAATCACAATAAAAAATTGTATGTATATATACATATATATGGGCGCTCTGGTGGCGTAGTGCCTAAGGCATTTGACTGCTAACCAGAAGGCTGGTGGTTCAAACCCACCAGCCACTTCTCAGAAGAAAGATTGGGGATCTACTTCTGTAATGATACCGCCTTGGAAACCCAAGAAGGGGTCGCTATGAGTTGGATCTGACTCGATGGCAGTGAGTTTTATATATGAGATATATAAACTACATAATATATGTATAAAAGAAGTAATCTCTTATCTACTTATAATTATGAATTACAAAATCTACAAAGTGGTTTCTCAAAAAACTCATCATCAATAATTCAGTAGCTGAAAAATAGGTTCTCCTTTAAAAGAATTACATTTTCTTTCTCCTTAGTGTTAAAGATAATGAAAAGTCAGAGGAGGAAATAGTTTTCTCTACAATCACAAGTTTTTTAGCATGAGAGTCAAGTTTAGAACCCACATATCCTAACTCCAAATGCCAAGCACTTTCCATTATACCATGTCATCTTTCAGTAAGAGGAGAAAGCCTTTGGAATTCTACAGAATATGAAAGATAAAAGTATTTTACCGTTTCAGCCATTTTTTCAGCTGGGGTGCTGCAAAATTCAACTGTTGATGGAACCTTTTTTTGACCGTTAGTGCCAACATTTCCAAGAAGATGAGAATTCACTGCTTTTGCCAGCTTGTAATTTGTTAATGCTAGTTCTGCTGTGCTGTGGGGTTGTGCATTAGGGTAGTAAGTTTGCTCTCTTCCCCACTGCAAGGAGACTAAAAGCTCCTCCAATAATCTGCATAGAACACAAATGAACAGTGACCATTAATAAGAGGATAAAATATTAAAAGTAACATTAAATAAGTATTTCTGAAATCATATAGTAACTTTCTCCCTTATCTTTTGTCATGAACCAGGAAGTCTGGCTAAATAAGTGAAACTACAGAAAGTACTTCTCAAACTATTAGACTGTTATTTGGAAACCTTCAGCAAATAATACTTAAAAATTCTCATATTGAATTTAGTATAAGAGCTAAATTTGACAACACATCTAATGAGCTTTTTTTTTAAACAGTTACTGATTTGATTTGTGAGAAAATATATAAAAGTGGATATATAAAAGCAAACTCCAATGTTACAGAGTAGTTTTCAACAAAAATGTCCTTCCAAGGGAGAAATGTGCACTCTTTGCCTTCTACCAACAAATATACAAAACTACTAAAACAGTAATCAAAAATTACTTTTAAATCCAGACATTTTTCTAACTGTAGAAATAATTCTTTCCCCAATTAAGAATGTGGGAAAAACATGTCTTCTATTTCTTTAATTCTCTTCTGTCCCCTGTAGCATCTATTTTAAAGTTCTACTCAAAGTTACTAAATCAAACATATCTACTCAATAAGTTATTAAATATAGAAACATTAAAAATAAAAGCTACATTAACAAAAATTGCAGGAGAAAGCAGAAGAGATCAGAATATAAAAAAGTACCATACTTCTGTGTAGCTAACATTTCCTGACGAAACCGTTCCCTTTCACTCAGGAGATCTTGTATAGCACTCTGTGCATCACGGCTTTGTCGCTGTAAAACTGCTCTGGAATTGGTTAATTCATCTGCCATAACCCTGAAAAATATTAAAATCTTACATATAAATTCTTTGACAATAAAACAGTATAAAGAAGTTTATATGCTATCTTTGTGATTCTTACTTTCAAAAGCTTACAAAAAGATCAACATTCAAATTCTCAGTTTTAAGGTTTCATTGAAAAGCATTTAAAAATGTTTATGCTTAGAGACCATTAAAGAGATTCAGTTAAAATATTTGTTTATAAAATAACAAAGCCAATAGTTAACTTTACTATACTTTTGGAATGTACCTCAATCTCGCTCTAGATTGTTCACATTTTATTTTCTTTTTTTTGGGAGGGGGTTGTCATTATTTTATTTGGATGTTAGATTAAAAGTAGAAATCTGAGCTAAAATAAACCACTGTAAGTTGGCTCACTGTAGTGTCTGCCAAAAGATGAAGCCAGGCCCTATCCTAGATGTTAAAGATGCAGATGGAGGCTCCCAGGGTTTCCTCCCCACCCCCCCTTTTTTTTTTTAAAAAATGTGATTTGGGTGAAAGTTTACAGAGAAAATTTACTTTCCATACAGCAGTTTCCATACACTTTTGTCTCATGACATTGAGTGCAATTTACCCCAATGCAACAGCTCCCCTCCCACCTCCTCCTCATAGTTACCTCTTCCCCTATGTCCATCCCTCCATGCACTTCTGCCCCCTGAGCTGTCTCCCTGTGCATAAGCAGCCCTTCTTTTTCCAATGATTGTTTTCTCCAGGGAGTGTGTCTACCTCAGGTAAATGTTCAACTCATATGCTTGTCTTTTGTTTAGCTGGAAGCCACAGATGTGGGTTCAATTCCAGACCTGAAGGGCAGCTAGGGGCCACAGTCTCAGTGGTTCTACCAGGCTCTAACAGACCAGCAAACCTGATCCTTTTTTTTCTTTTCCAAATGATTTTGAGTTTTGTTCCACATTGTTCTCCCTCTCTATCAAAGATCTCCTACATAGATCCCCCTCTGAGTGGTTGACATTGGTAGCCAGGCACCATCTAGTTCTTCTGGTCTCACAGTCATATAGGCTGCAGATCACATGGTGTACCAGTCACTAGGATTAACTGTTTCCATGAATCTTTTTTTTTTTTTTTTCATTCTTCTTGGCTCTAGATGAGGAGAGAACCATTGTTGCATCTACATGGCTGCTTGCAAGCTTTTAAGATCGCAGTCGCTACTTGCCAAAGTGGGAGGTGGAACAGTGTTTTGTGTAGTATGTTATGCCAATTGAGGTTGATGTCCCCTGTGACTATGGCCCTGAGCCCCCAAGTTTAATTACTCGTTCCCTGTGGGTAGCTGGCTGTGACCAAGAAGTGACTATAACCTTGTCCTCTGTCAGCTCTATTATACACTCGGGAATTCTTAAACATACAAAAACACTTGTAGAACCACTGTCTGCCAACCCTATCTGTGGTCTTGGGTACACTCCCCACTGCATAGACACACCAAATAGTTCAGCCTGTCCACCCATCTATCTACCCGTATACCCATGTTTGCCTTCACTGACAATGCAGTACTATATGTGCAAAAGGGTTCATCTTTGTTGTCTGCACCTCCCATGTACCTCTCTATGTCTTCCTCTTCCTCAGTGCCACCACGTTGATCACTCACATCTGGTAATTGCCCTTCTCTTCACCCAAATCATAGACTGTTTAAATTTTGACAAAAATAAAATTTAATATTTTTTAAATACAGAAAATTTGAAAAAGGAGAACAAAAATTCATCATCCAATCACTCTACTACCTTTCTGCCCTTGGACAAATATTAAAATGATATAGAAAGGCTTATAGAAAATGAAAACCTAGTCTTTCCTCTTGCCCAGCATCCCCATCCCTCTTTCATATACAGCCAATAAAGTTTCTTATATATTTTTCCGGAAGCTCTGGTAGCATAGTGCCTAAGGCACTTGACTGCTAACCTGAAGGCTGGCGATTCAAACCCAACAGCCACTCCTTGGAAGGAAGATAGGGCAATCTACTTCTGTAGTGATACTGCCTTAGAAACCCAAGGAGGGGTTGCTATGAGTCAGGTCCAACTCGATGGCACATAACAACAACAACAATATGTTTTTCCAGAAAAACAATTTATGACTTTATCAACATGAAAGTACAGTCCTGTGTCATATAATGTCTGTTTGGGTAATACCTGATCGTATGTACATTCATGGTCCCAACCCCCGTAAAGGCTATTACATGAAAAGTTTGAGATACATGCAAGTTTGTAATAACAAACAGGTACTGTATTGTGACATGCATCAGAACATTATTATTGTGTTCCTATGTTAAATCTGTTTTAGTGTATCTGGAAGTGTTTCTTTAATATTATTTATGAATAGAAAGGCACACTCTATACTGTATATTAAGACAAACTTTTGACTAATATTAGATATGAACTGTACCTAACTGTTCCAACTTACATACCAATTCGACTTAAAGACAGATTTAGGATTGTAATTGTTTGTAATATGGAGACTGCCTGTACATACTATGATGTTTGCACAATATCCAAATTACATAGCATCCTATTTCACAGAACATATTGTGGACATTAAGTAATACATGACTGTGTGTGTTAAAAATAAATAGATCCATTTATTTACTAAAAAGAAATTATTCAATACAAACTTTTCTACATCATGATTGTTTTCCACTTAATAATTAATTGTAGAGCTTCTTCTATATTAGCACATACAGTTACTTCATTTCATTTTTTTGAAAACAACTTTATATTATATTCTATTGATTGGATACACTAATTTCCTATTGATGGAAAGCAATAAGTAAAACTCTAGCTGAAAATCTTAAAGTCTCAGATGTTAATAAGCACAGAGTGCTTTAAAAGGAAAACTGTTTTAACACTGAAAGATTGAACAACTAAAATATCAACAGAAGTGAACGGAGGAATTTAATTTGTATTGCTGTTAAATATAACTATCAGTATTGATTAGGATGTTAAAAAAAGTTATTGCACTTATCTGTATAACTTAGGGATAATTTATTTGCCTCTTAAGCTGTTAAATGAGAATTTATTTAATTAGCTTTCATTCTTAGTCAATAAACACAAAGTTCATTTCCCTAAATAGCATCATGCATCCTTACAATTAAAAAACAAATGAACTGAAGGACTTTAAGAGAGTACAAAGTATCACAGATGTTAAGGAGCTCTGGTGGAACAGTGGTTACTACAAAGTATCACAGATGTTAAGGAACTCTGGTGAAACAGTGGTTGAAACTTTCAGCTACTAAGCAAAAGTTCGGTGGTTTGTATCCCCTGGCTGTGGGAGAAAGATGAGATGGTCTGCTTCCCTAATAATTTATAACCTTGGAAACCGCATGGGGCAGTTCTACTCTGCCCTATAGGGTTGCTATAGTAGTAATGACTCCCGCAGATACTAAGACATGAAGCAACACTTTCCTAAAAATTTATTACTATAATCAGTGGTTTTTGGGAACCTTTTCTATTTTGTAAGAATTCCAATGATTCCATTAAAATCAATAGTTATTAAGCATATTACGTGCAAAGTACTTTGCTAAACACAGGAAATACACAAAGGAGCCCTCATAGCACAGTTATTAAGCACTTAACTGGTCACCAAAAGGTCCATGGTTCAAATCCATCAGCCTCTCAACAAGCAAAAGAGGTGGAAATCTGCTTCTGTAAAGATTACGGCCTTGGAAACCCTTTGGGACAGTTCTACTCTGTCCTATAGGGTCACTATGAGTCAAAATCGACTCAATCGCGATGGGTTGGAGAAACACAAACACAGTTAATCCCCAGATCCTGTTCTCCAGTAACTGAGTTAGGAGATTGAGGAGAAGGGAAGGATAATTGGCAAACAATTATAATATATAGCAGAGTTTCCCAACTATCAGTGTGTCTAGAAGCCTAGATTGGGGCTCTGGGAATTAAATCTCTGATAAAGTAGCCTCATCTAGTATACAAATATTATCACTTTCTATTCGTGTATGGAGAGAAAAAGGTTTGGAAGGTGTAACATATAGTTAAAAGAATTATGAGAACAGAGCATTAGCAATGAGTAATATTATCTTAAGGAGTCCTGGTAGCACAACGGTTAGGTGCTTGACCACTAATACAAAGGCTGGAGGTTTGAACCCACCCCCAGCTCCGTGGGAGAAAGAGCTGGTAATCTGCTTCCATAAAGATCATGGCCAAGAAAATCCTATGGGGGAAGTTCTACTCTATCACATGACATCACTGTAAGTTGGAATCAACTCAATGGCACCCAACAACTACAATTACCTTAGGGAGTGGGATTGGTATTTGAGTTCTCCAGGTAGAGGGTGGAAGAGATAATTTGATATTTTGTGATTTTAGTATTTAGCAGATGTCTGCATTTACACTTTTAATTTGGTCTTAAACATTATAGTAGGAATGATTTCTAATATATAGTAGTAACGCAAAATTCTGAAATGAGGGAGGATCCTTATGCTATCACCTCTCCATTTAGGGAGACTATGTAACCATACATAAAGAGGGAGAGTCCATATCTTAAATATTGAGTACTTTGACAATCTTGGCCAGAAACATTTCACACTGAAATCTACTTTCTTGTGTTATTGGTCAAAGACTTAATTAAGATATAGAACAAAAACTAGGAAATAAAATAGCGTATAAAATACCTGCTTGCAAGGAATTTACTTCGCCACACATCACACTGTATTGACATGCGTTCTAACTGTTCAGAAAGCTGAGCTGTGTTTCGACCTAAGGCTTCATTTTCTAAAATAAGCTGATTTTTTTCACGGGCTAGACGTTCAAAGTAATACTGAAGATCATCCCCAACAGAAGCCACCAGCAACTTTTTTAACTCACGGTTTACCTAGCAGAGAACAAAACCAATACAACAAGCTCAAAGTAATGTCAATGACTTTAATGTAATAAAAATTAATGAGGGAGGAACTCTTTTTGTGTAATTTGGACCTCCATTATTTAAAAGTGTGTATCAAAAACTGATAATAAATATTTAAGTTTCATAATATATATAAACTAATCTCTACAATAGCAGAATACAAATAAGAATACAAATCTTGCATTAAGAATACAAATCATTACCATGAAAATTGTGACTGCTTCCAATTAACACTTAAAGGGAAAGAAATTAGTAAATAAAACCATAAATTTTGCTAAAAAAAAATTCACAGAATGTTTCCCATGGTCTTTTACTTAATATTTAAAAACTTGTTTCTTTGTAGACCTAGGATTTTAACTTTTGGCAATTTTAACAAAGGCAGTAATCCAGTATGTTCTTTACATTATTACTGAAAATAGCAAAAGATTAAAACATTAATGTCCAATAACAGGTAATTGGTAAATTATGGTACAGCCATATGAAGAAGACTATTGCTATTAATAATGACATTATAAAACAATATTGTGACATGGGAACATATTAATAAGTGGAATACAAGTTAAGAAGAGTAGTTATATCTGGATGATATGATTATAGGTATTAAAATAATTATAGATTATTGCATTTTTGTTTTCTAAAATGTTTATAATAAATATGTACTACTTTTGTAATTAAAAATTAGTTATTTAAAAAATATATTATTTTTAGGTTTTGGACAACTAACCATAGTGTTACAAAAACTAGCATCTAACAAAAAAATATATGATCTAATAGAGAAACAAAGGAAGTACAAGTCAATGTTTTAATGAGATGTAAAGATTAACACAAAGCAGCCCTGGTGCACAGTGGTTAGTGCTGGTCTGCTAATCAAAAACTCACCAACTGCTCTGTGGGAGAAAGATGAGGCAGTCTACTTCCATAAGATTTATATATAACCTTGGAAACCCTATGGGGCAGTCCTACTCTGTCCTTTAGGGTTGTTATGAGTTGAAATTGACTTGATGGCATTGGGTTTTGGAAAGATTAAAGCAACACTATCAAGCGCTATAGCTTGTTTTTCATGTTCAATGAAGACATCATAATTTATAATACTCTTCTCTTTATTTCAAGTATATTGTATATACAGGCAAAACTACTTAGAATTTATGATTCCTTAAAATAAAGACTGCTAACCAGTCAATTTCAAAACCTGGTTTGGTCAATCATGGGTCTTTCAGTTGATAGCTGTAACCTCCCCTTACAACTTTAGGTGGTTTTGTCCTAAGCATCTCAAACCTCCATGTTCAATCAGGTTTACAGTGTATGTTTTGAGATCCTGAGAAAGAATGATAAATTTAAGAGGAAGCATTTTAAAGAAATGAAAAGTTACTTAAAAAAAAAAAAGGCATTTTCAAAAGGAAATAGTTTTCTAACTAGTGGGCTTAGAAGGCCCAGATGTAAAGAAAATAAAACCAGTAAACTAGTTGCTATAGAACTCATGCTGCCTCATGGTGACCCTGTGTGTGTCAGAGTAGAACTGTGTGCCATAGGATTTTCAATGGCAGATTTATTTTTTGGAAGTAAATCGCCACGGCCTTTCTTTTGAGGCACCTCTGGTTAGATTCAAACCTCCAATCTTTCACTTAGCAGCCATTTGCACTACCCAGGGGTTCCAAAGAAGAGTATCAAAAACTCCAAACTCACTGCCATGGAGTCGATTCCAACTCATCGCAACCCCCACTGGGTTTCCAAGGTGCTAAATCTTTATGGAAGTAGATTCCCCCATCTTCCTTTCACAGAGTGGCTGGTGGGTTTGAAGAAAGAGTAGTACTCATTAAAGTTATTAAGACTCTTCTTACCTCTGTCTGTACTCGGAGCTGGTTTGAGAGACCTTCTTTGTCCTGTAGTAACCTCCTTTCAGAGTTCTTGAGCTTTTCCAGTACATTCTTTACCTCAGATAGTTCTTTCCTAGGTTCTACAACTCCCTCTGACTGACCAAGAGATTCTCTTTTATGATGGCCCAGAGACTTAACCTTTACATTTTTGGTGGGGATATCATGGGTTATAGCAGCTTTGGGAACTAATATTCTTACAGCTTCAACTTCAACTGCTTTTTCAGTAAGAATCTTCCCTAGCTGAAGAACTCCTGGGCTCTCTGATGCAAGTGCTTTCTTCCGTGGACTCTGAAGGATGTGATGCTTTATGGATTGGACTCCAGAGATGACTTCAACACATTTAGATGGCTCCTCAGTTTCCATTCCATCTCCTGCTCCTCGGATTGGGGTTGAAGTAAGAGTGGCTAATGAAGAGAAACAAAATATGAAGTACTTACTGAAAAGAAATGCCAAGATATGCTTTACCTTACACTTAACAATCAACAGTACTGAAACAATAGAAAAAATTCATAGTAAAAAGTAATGTTCAAAACATACATGTATCATTAATAGGTAAGTCTTAAAGGGTCAAAGTTTCTACAAGTAAATGGTTTCCCTATTAGGAGAGTATGTGAGAGATTTAAAATCAGAGGATTTGGCTCAAATCATGATTGTTTTCTGGTATGACCCTGGGTAAATAATTTAACCCATTTGAACCTCTGTTTTCCCAATCTGCGAAAAAGAGATAGTAACAACTATGCTACAGGGTTATCTTAAGAAATAATGCAATGATATCAAGTGCCTGGCACACTGTAGACAATAATGTTAAATATAAATATCAACTATATATATCTGAAATTATCTACCTCAAAATAGACTCATCTGTTTTTGTGAACTCTTGGCAAAGAATGCTTTGCAGAAGGGCAAGGGAAAGCATCATATACGTTAAACTTGAAAATTGATTAGGAAAGATTCAGTCCTATTCTTAGAAATAAAAGTGCATTTATGTCCTAGTTACACAAATGAAAATGCACTGTGTTGTCAGATTAAACTTCCTTAGACTTCACTTTCACTATATCATGCTCATATTATTTTATTGAGTCCCTATTATCTCCAGGGTAGGTCTGGTGGCATAGTGCCTAAGGCATCTGACTGCTAACCAGAAGGCTGGTGGTTCATACCCACCAGCCACTCCTCAGAAGGAAGACTGGGCAGTCTACTTCCATAGAGAGACCACTTCAGAAATCCAAGGATGGTTTGCTATGAGTTGAATTGACTTGACGGCAGTGAGGTTTTTTTTTTTTTTTTGGTTGTTATTATCTCCAGAGGCTTTCAACTTTTTTCAGATGCCAGGGTTCATTCCCTCCCCCCCCCCCGCTTTTTTTAAGGGAAATTCTAAGAAGAGGTGTATAGGAAAAAAATTACACTAAGAGTTCTTTTCTATAGAGATGAGGGGAGGAGGTGATGAAACTCAGCTACCAGTATCCTCAGCAGTACCACCATGAGACAAATTGGAAAATCCCTATCCTGCAGGGTAAAAACCTTTCCAAGGCCTTCCATAACTTGGTCTCATACCAGTTATCTAACAGACTTCGCAATACTCTCCTTCCTAAGGCCTTACTTAGGCCTTTGTTCATCCTACTTCTTGTGCCCCTAGATGGCTTCTGTAGCATTTGCCTGAGCAGGGCAGAGGCCAGGCCAAGAGGTTGAGGGCCAAAGAGAGAGACCTGCCTGTGGGACAGCCAAGAAGCTATCCTAATTGAAGAACTATATATCCTGAGTCGTTGTTGTTGTTTGCCGTCGAGTTGGCCCCGACTCATATAGTGACCCCTCCTTGGGTTTCCGAGGCAGTATCACTATGGAAGTAGATTGCCCCATCTTCCTTCCGAGGAGTGGCTGGTGGGTTTGAACCGCCAGCCTTCTGGTTAGCAGTCAAGTGCCTTAGCCACTATGCTACCAGAGCTCTGATCCTGAATTGTATTCTGTTACATCCCTAATAAACTTTGAGTATGGTCTGTGAAACCTGAATTGGAAAAAAAGTTTTTCTGACTTGTGCAGAAATAGAAAGCTGTTATTTTTTGCTCCATTATTTCCTATTCAGTGATTATTTTTAAGTTGTTAAGCAAGACCACTGGACCATTTATGTTTGATTTGAATCTAGTGCCCATGTACGCTGAACCCTTCTCTGGCATGTGGCTGGTAAGTTCATTGCTTCAGCAAGTGATGTTGAACAGCCACAGCTATAGGTGATTATTGCTGTTACATGAGATGATTCACAGGCCAATCAGAGTTAGCTGTTATATCTGCTCTGTGCTTGACCTCTCTCACAGTAAATCCAGCTCTGCCTACTGAAGATGTAAGAATCACTCAGCGAGTGAGGACACTGATAGTCAGAAATCTAAAAGTGCTGGTTAAACTGCTTAAAGTTCTGAACAGTTTCATGTGAATAGAAATTTGTCAGGTGAGAGTAAAAATTTAAATGCAAATTATTCACATTTTTTAAGAGTGGTATTTAAATTCAAGAAATAAAAGATAGCACATAATTTTTTATGATTCCACTCTTGCATTCAATCTCTATTTAAATGTAGTATCACATATTGTTTATACTTAAACATGTTTAAGTTTGTTATTTACCATACAAATTGAAATGTTAACAGCAACTAGTGGGAAGAAAATTAATGCTTCAATTGCAGTATACCATTGTTTTCACCGAAAATTCCACAAAATTTTAAGATCAAATTCAAAATAAAACAATAATTGAGTAAAAATTTTTCTGTAATACAGGTCCAACAATGAAAAGAACAGAATTCTTTTTTGTTTTGGAATAAAACTTGGGTGACTTAGGGTTCATAGTTAGTGTTCCCGTTCATCCAACTGATTGCAGATGTTCACAGCTAGCAGGACTGAGGGCCATAATGTGCTGGACCCTGCTCTAGAACACTGAGATAAAAAAAATATGTTTTTATACTCTGTCATTAAGTAAACATTTCTCCTTTCTTTATAAAACTTAAATCTATGAAGACAAGTATTCTTATTCAGAGGGTGGTGTAGGGAAAAGAATATCAAACTTTGAGTCAAATAACTAAGTCCTTATTGCTACTCACTGTGTGGCCTTAGGCAGGCAGATTATTGAGCCTTCCTCCCACGCTGCAGTGCTTTTAGAATAATGAAAATATATAATATTTTAAAGTAATTTGTTTTAGACTGTTGAAAGCCCAGAGGCCAGCGACTGCTTCTCACTAATCTATGTATCACCAGATGAAGAAAGGGGGCATGGCACAAAAAAGATGAATAAATACTTAGGGACTTTGATTAATCTGTTAGCACACTACCTCGAAGATTTCATTTTAACGTTCAATAATTTACTCATCTAAAAAATGCTTAATGCTTTTTTCTCTCTACAGCATTAATTCTTAGCTCAGGAAAAGGCTGACAAACTTTTCAGAACATGTAAATTCAGCTATAAAACAGTTGAATTGAGGATGCCCATTTGGTAATACTAATTTCATTATTATTTTAAATGTCACCAATGCCATCTAACAAAATTCAGTTAATTATTATTAATTTAGAAAAATATGTTAAAGACAATGCTAGACCAACATTTACTCACATATCATCTGAACATTCTTCTTGCCACATTTGCCATAAATAAAAGTTCCCTGGTCAAAATAAGTATGGACAATGTTGCATATCACATCTCTTTTTTAGGAACCTACATCAGAATACTGAAGTCTCTGACAAGTCCTGTAGTATAACATTACCTTTAATCCAGCATTTCCCAAATTTATGCAGCCATAGAATCCTTTTTCATCCAATATCTATTAGTCCATAGAATTAGTGTTAAAGTTAGACTGTTTTATGGAATTATATATGGAATTATATATGGAATTATATATAAATATTGGGAGCTCTGGTAGCATAGTGCTAACCAGAAGGCTGGCGTTTCAAACCCACCAGCCACTCCTTGGAAGGAAGGTTGGGCAATCCTACTTCCGTAGTGATACTGCCTCGGAAACCCAAGGAGGGGTCGCTTTGAGTCAGGTTTGACTTGACGGCACATAACAACAACCACAACAACAATATAAATATTTAAATGTGTTAGGTCTCACCATTTGGTCTGCTTTCCCTAAACAATATGATTTTAATACCTTTAATTTTAATCTTATTCCCAAGAAAAATTTTGTATTCTACTTCCTAGAGTTATTATTTATTATATATTTCCTTTGCAGAAACAGCCCTTCCAGCAATGACACATCCCTCTCATGATGATAGTATTGCTCAATCAAATATCCTGGGAGGATATTCTGTGGCTATTAATCAAACAACATCTTGCTTCTCTTCTGAGGCAGTTACAGGAAATACAGGCAATTGGCAAATGTTAACCATAATAAATTATACTTTTCTCAGGCTATACACCTTTTGTTCATTAATAACAATAGTTATAATAAGTACAGATGGGACTAATAGCTGAATTACAATTCTTATGAGATAATTTAGATTAAATATGTGAGAGTGCTTTTTAACTCTAATGTTCATTAAAAACAAGTAATAATAAACAAAAATAATTTAATTTCACAGTCTTGGCAATAACCAAGACACTCTGGTGGTGCAGTGCCTAAGGCATCTGACTGCTAACTAGGAGGTTGGCAGTTCAAACCCACCAGCCCACTCCTCGGAAGTAAGACAGGGCAATCTATTTCTGTAAAGATTTACCACCTCAGAAACCCAATGGGGGTTGCTTTGAGTTGGAATTGACTCGATGGCAGTGGGTTTTTTCCTTTTTTTTCTGGCCAAAACTAACTTTTAATCACTAATCATAACACTGTATTATTTTTTTTCTTTTTGCCAAGTACCATGCTAGTGCTTTCACAATGGTTATCTTTAATTGCTTATTTCCCATTAAATCTCCAGTTTATTACTTCCCAGTATGGTCTCTAATTTGTTTATTCTAATTCAATAAAAGCCTTTGGTGACTTATGAACTGCTGCTGTACACAGCTGAATTAAATTCAATTAAATATTTATTGGCATGATTTCCTCTTTGTTTCCTAAGCAAATTTCAGTCCACTTAGAGAATTTGCTGCTGGAGGTCAGCTTGCTGAAAAAGTGGCTTATAGAAAATTGTTTTCCATTTCTCACTAAAGGCCCCAGCCTCCAGGACTCACTCCACCCAAAGAGTAAACTGGGTCAGAAGCAGTTCATTTTGGGATACATTAAGACTACTGTTTATGTCTCAATGAAGATGGCCAATTGGAAGAAGATGGCTATGAAGGCCTGAATCACAGGGAAGAAGATGTTGGCTATAGACAGATTTGGATGTCATCCCTATAGATAATTACTGATGCCCTTGGAGAAGAGACAAAGAACTAAAGAGTGAAAAACCCAACTAAACCCAACCCAACCAACCCATTGCCATCAAGTTGATTCTGATCATAGCCATCCTATAGGACAAAGTAAAACTACCTCACAGGGTTTTCAAGGCTATAAATCTTTACAGAAGCACATTGCCACATCTTTCTCCTATGGAGTTGCTGGTGGGTTAGAACTGCTGACCTTTTGGTTAGCAGCCAAATGCTTTAATCACTATGCCACCAGAACTTCTTGAATAGTGGGGAAAAAAAGGGGCTGAAAAATACTGATATTTAAAGGATAAACTTGAAAGAGAGGAGGCTGAAAAAGAAACAGAAAAGCTACAATTACTGCAGTGCTGTCAAATAAAACTTTCTGCAATGGTGGAAATGTTGTATATCTGCATTTTCCTATACAATAGCTAGCAGGCACATGTGGCTACTGAATACTGGAAATATGGCTGATAAGAGTGAGGAACTGAGTTTTTAATTTTGAAAGAAAATTAATTTAAATTCAAATAGCCATATGTGGCTACAACATTAGACAGTGAGGGACTGAAAATTACTAGAATAGGCTGAAAAGAGAAGAGTGATGTTATGGAAGGTATTTGAAAAGAAGGTATTTGAAAAGGAGGAAAATGGTAACAGTATTAATGTGATAGGACAAACAAGGCAGAACTAAACGGTGATAACTGTATTTAGCAAGAAGGTCTTTGATATCTGCTAGTTGTCTGCACATCTATTTAAGTCTTTAAATATAAGTATTTCTATTTATTTAATTCTTAATTTCTTAGAGGATAGGGAATATAGCTGTAAAATATTGCTTTTATACTAGATGTTAAAGAGTGAACAAGTAGTCATCTAATAAATACTACCTAATATTAATATTCACTTGTCTATCTAAAGGTCTGAAATGTAAACAGTGTACTACACAAAATAAACATGAAGAGATAGGAAACATGAGTGCTTCTCAAGGGCTGTAGATTTAGTTACCTCACTTAAACATTCCCTCAGATTGTCAAAAATTCCATGTTTTGAAAGCAGTTATTATCAAAAGAAGAACACTTACCTTTGGTTTCTAAACTTTCAAGAGTAGTCATTTTTTTTCCCCTTAAGGAATGTAGATGCACTCCAAGATTTCTGCTGAAAAATCTAGATGTACAAATATGAAAGAATAAAATATAATACTATAAAACAGATTCACTGTTTCTAACTTAAATATGATATTCTAATTGCTTCTATATTTAGTACACATACATTTTAGAAAGGAAATGTTCATCATAGTCACTTTTCACAAGTGGTATTATTATGGCTATCAAAATACTTGAAACATATTATTACTGACATAAATTTGTTACAATATCAGAGAGAAATTTCAAACACTCAAAAAAAAGTGTTTTTCCATTGTTCCACCTCCTACTTTGGCAAGTAGCGACTGGGATCTTAAAAGCTTGCAAGCTGCCATCTAGATGCAACGATGGGTCTCTCCTTGTCCAGAGCAAAGAAGAATGAAGAAAACCAAAAATTCATGGAAACAATTAGTCCTATCGACTGGTACACCATCTGATCTGCAG